TCCCTTCAGACCTCTGTCTATGTCCTTCTCTCCTTCTAGAAGGACACCTTCACCTAGTTAATTCACATTGTCCTCCAGGACAACTCAAATGGCTCCCCTGGGAGACGGGTGGATCTGGCAGGCTCCATTAGCTGCATCCTCCATGCTTCTTTGTACACACCTGTATCATGATACTGCCATTTAGGTCTGCAAGTATTCCTTTTTCTACGTGTCTTCTGGGTTATGAGCAAGGAACTGACAAATAGGAGTTGCAAAATCTTGGCTGATTCTAAAGGAGGAGCTAATTGCTTCAGATTGGGAAATGGGTGAGAGGTGAAACCAAGTAGAAAACTTAAGAAAAACTATATATAAAGTTGGTGTCATTTGAAATGGATCTTGAAAGGATGAACAGTATTTTCCAGATGTACAACCAAGAAGGGCTTTCTAATCTGAGAAAATTACATGAGTAAAAGAGACGAGGCAAGAAATATCAGGTTGTGTTGCAGTATGTGTGGGGCGGGGTGGTGTTGATAGTATATACATCTTACTGCACTCTTCATATGAGGGAGCAGATGGAATCCATAACAAAAATACATGTCTTATCAACAAATTCATGGGAGAAATGGTCTCACATTTGTTTCCCTTCCCTACAGGCAATATATACTCATACACTACACCTGGATCCACTCCACCCAGCACCACTTAATACAGTACATTACAAAATTTGACACTGAAATCATTATTGTGAATTGAAATACCTACTACTCTGAGGAAGAGAGCCTTCTATTTAGTGAAAAACAGGTACCTGAGTTAACCTGGTACAAGTCCTAAATAGTTAAGAAATAGAGTCTTGGGGGAAACAGTCCTATTACTGCAATTCCTTGTAACCAAGATTGTCTCCTAGAGGATGAAGTAAATAAGCTATGGGGGTGAGCTGAAACCGAAATCAACCAACTGTCAGCCAAGTCTCTTTCTTTAGTATTACAAAATTTAAGAGAAAAAACCATTCAGATTACTACAAAGAAACATTTAAAATGAGCTCATTAAATGCAAATTAAAACAGAAACATTGAATAAGCACTGGGCTATAATTAAAGGCTGAAGAAACAGCAGGTAAGAAACAATTTTCATTGATCAAAGACGTGAAAGCTAACAGAGTAAAGTATTTTGCATTAAAACTGCTTTCATGAATATGAAGCATTTGAAGGAGAACTTTCTCTTCCTTTCTTTCTCTTTTCTTTCTTTTCGAATTTTTCAAAGAAGCTTTGGAGGTAGGAATGGATTTGCATATCTTAATACAAAGTACTTTCATTGTATCATTTTCAAGCAATGAAGCTATGAGGTTTAAAAAAAATAGAGACTTCAAAAAAAAAATCCCTGAAATAGAGCCAAAACTGTAAAGGGCATAAGGTCCTTTTACAGCCGTTGGACCCAAAAGAGAACTTTGTATAATTACATGAAATCCTCTATGCAAAAGTTTAGCAGAATCTATTTAATCTATTTTGTGACACAGATGTACCTCATAATAAATAGGAGTTTGAGTACTTAGATGCAGAGTTGCTTTCATCTAAAGTTATTCAAATGGCAGGGCAAGTAGCAATACACACTAAGTCAACTAGCAATATAGATTCCAAGACTTTAAAATTTACTGCATACAAACTTTTTAAAAAATATGTAGATCTGGGAGCCAAGAGTAGCATTAGACTGTAAGTTCCTGATGGCAAGGTTCCTTTGTCTGTTCACTCTTACATCTCTGCCACCTAAAGCATACAGTAGGCACTCCATCCTTGAATCTGCTTTTGTGAAACTAAAGCATTATAAAATGAGAAGTGAAGGCTTTTTTTTTCTTCATAAACTTATTTTAATATTAAGGTACACTGCTGTTGACCTAGCAAAAAGGCAATAATAAAAATACTTTGTGGCATACCAGGGGAAAGGGGCACTCATCAATGTGTCAGGAGGGTCCAGCCATCAAGGACAGCATTCAGCTTGTACATTAGAAGGCACTAAGCCTACTGAATGCTCACCACTGGGGAATACTGCATGATTAGAGCATCCCCCAGAATAGAAGGCAAGGCAGAATTATAGGGAAGTGGCTCTGTACATGCAGATACGAAAGTTCTCAAAGAAAGGTTATGTTAAACAAGGTATAAAGGAGACTACATTTTAATTAYTGTTTGGTTTTATTAATCAAGAATCTTTTAAAAGACATTAAATTCTCAATACTGGCAATATTATCATATGTATATCTGTAAATTTTAATATCTAATTCTACCAAAATACAAAATCTATAGGAAATTTAAATATTTCACAAGTATCACCACTAAAATTCAATTTTAAACACAAATAATTGTTCATTTTTCAAAAGGTGAAATATAATTTTAATAGAGCAGTCAAAATTACATTTTTCTACATTGAATTTTCTTAAGCTTTTCTATTCTGCTTTATATTATCTTGAACTCCTCTACACCTCTCACAAAGGCACAATTTTTCATTGACTTCAATTAAATTATGTTTCTGTAGCTGTCTGGGTCGGGGCATTTAACATGTCAATCATATTCTGAGTGGGAAATCTAAGTACTTTTGAAACAGTCTCAGTGCCGGGAAGGGAATCCTCAGCTTTCAGAAGGTAATTTTATTGGTCGTGAGGTAACAGTTGGCTCCTTTCCTTTACCAGGGGAAAAGGAAATCTTCATGATTTTCCTCAAAAGAGATGGGATTTAAATGGAGAGTACAATTTGCATCAAGGAGAGTGTAGGACTCGGGGAGTACATGAAAGGCACTGCTCTGAGTAGCACTCCTTCACTTAACAGAAAAAAACAACCTTAGATAAATATTCATGTGTATTTTGATCTTCAGCTGATCACTGGGTAAAGACCACCATGCCTTTCTTTCCTGGCCCAGAAGTTTAGTTACAAAGATAAAATGCATCACTCTAGGGCTTCCTTTCATTTACTTTCACTTTTATTTATCTATACAACACACCCAAGTCCAAAACTAGCAGTTCAGATTTTTATTGAAGTGTGACCACCAAGAGAATGAGGCAATGCCACTAGCTGAATAAAATAATCTGCTGCACATTGTCCACATGCTTTTTWTATGGAATGTACTGTTCTTGGGAGGGGTGAAGATTTAATCATTTATGTTGTAAAACATACTTATATGCAATATATAAAACAATAGCTGGAGTAAGAGAAAGAACATTTTTTAAAACTTACCTTAAATTTCCCATGTTTTTAGCAGTAATAAATTTGCCTAATCATTCAATCTAAATATCATACTTCTTCCATCTTGGAAAAATTCTGGATAAAACTAAACAAAACAGCCTAAATGTATTTCATCCTAATAAAGTTGTTACTAAAATAATCTATTAGATAATAATTTATAATTAAATGATGATTTCTATATCTTAATTCCTCTTTATATAAATGTGCTTCTCTTAATATCATGCATGCACTAGATTAAGAGAGATTTAAAATAAAAYGTGTGGAATTGTCTTCAAAGTAAGGTAGAGACTATCATTTTGCTGTAAAAAACTGCCAGCATGAATTTTATTCCTCTACTTGGTTCCCTGATTTAGTTCATATTAGTGCTTATGAGTGAATTTCATGTAAATGTCACATAAAAGGCTCAATAAATGACTCATAAAAGTGTATATTTTTTCTTAATTTGATAATTTAATTTCAAGTCATTCACCAAAAGTTACACCATACTAGAAAAGTAAGAAAAATTGGACAACACCCTTAGGCTTTTTACTATTAACTGCAATGGTCATGTTAGTTAACTGGCATGACTCTCCCAAAAATGTGTATAATGTTTAATATTTGAGCCTTACTTCCAAAAATAAAAACATGTAAAAAAGGTTTTCTGTGCATAAACATCCACCTCTCCTCATCTTTCTTCTGGACAGACAACACCTGATATCAAAAATRCATGTTGCAATCAAAGGCAAGCAAGATCCCCAAACTTACAATAAATAATCTGGAGCAACTCTCTGCAATAATGAACTCCCCACACAGCTGTTTTCTACACATACCACCATTTCCACTAATTTTTGAGGATARCTCCTAAAGTAAGTTTTGGCTTAACAACCCTGGAAAAGAAGACCTTTGCTGATCTTAGACTTCGCAGTGTTTATAACTCTCTACACCTACCTCCAAAGTTTGACAGGCAAAATGCACCTAGGTGCAAAAGATTTCATCTTTGCTCTCAATTATTTCTTACATTTCATATCTTCAAGAAGAGATGTAAAAGGAGGATCCCAGGGAGCAAGATATTTAAATCCACCTGGAGGGATTTCTTTTGAACCCAGCCATCATGCCCAGTCTAATGCTTAAGTTTTTCCTTAAAGAGTCCTAAAGACAGTGGGTCCCCATCTGTCCTAAGCTGACAGACAGCCGCCAGGCCTCCTTAAGGAACGCGGGGGCAGGAGGTGGGAGTGGGAACCGATTTGGGGCGGCCCTCGGTGCAGGGCTGCGRGAGCCCAGGGGGCGCGGCTGCGCGCACCTCTTCCCTGGCAAGTGGTCTTCCTGGGAACCCTGTCGAGCCACGGCGGGGCGGGGACTGCACACACACTTATGCTCCTGGACATCCCACCAGGACAGCGAGGCTGGCCCAGATGGGCCCTGGAGCGGCCCGGCGGCGCGGGCGGAGGGTGGCGCGACACTTGCGCCCTGTCACTGACAGGTGGCCCCGGCCGGCACCCGAGGTTTCCGGGTCGGCCTGGGCGCGGGTCGGCGCAGAGAGGCTGTACCTGGCAGGCACCCACGTACCTATCATGGTCACTGGGCAGGTGGCGGCTGCCGGGCAAGCCGGGGGCCACACGCGCACGGGCGTCGCCCGCGCCTCCCACCAGCGGCTTTCCCTCAGCTCAAGTCCTCCAGGCCTCCCCGCCCCCGCGCCCGGCGCCCGGTGCGCACGCGCAGGCGGCCCGCGGCCCGGCGCCTGCTGGGAGTCGTAGTTTGGTCGCGTGGCTTCGCCTCACGCCCCCACCCTTTCCGCCTTCAGGCCCAGGAAACGTACGTCACGGAGGGGCGCGGCTCCGGGCTCGTAGTGTTGACGAGTCGCTTAGCAACCGGGAGGCTAACCTTTGGAAGCTTGTTGCAGCGCTAGCCGCGGTCCTGCCCTCTTCCTGCCCCTCCCCTCCCTCAAACTCCCTTCACCTAGGTGCTGCCAAACACCTGGATCGACCTGGCACCTCGAGAGGCTGAATTTCTACCAGTAACGCGCCTTTTACGTTTTTTCCCCGATCTCCCGCTCACATCCGTAAAACCCTCTGATTCTTTTACTACACTTTTTTTTATGAGAACAAGACATTTTCTAGGAAGATGGTGGCAGAAAAAGAGACCCTGAGCTTAAACAAATGCCCAGACAAGATGCCGAAGAGGACCAAGCTGCTGGCACAACAGCCGCTCCCGGTGCACCAGCCTCACTCCCTGGTTTCTGAGGGCTTCACAGTCAAAGCCATGATGAAAAACTCAGTCGTAAGTGATCTTCCTCAATTGAACGCACTCGCTCCCTGGCAGGGGACGCGACATTGTAGAGGGTGGCTGGCCCTCCAGTGGATTCCCAGCCCATGTCCTGGGTAGGCTGCCAAAAATGCCAGTTCTTCAGTGCCCACCAGTGTGTGGAGGTCCGGCTAGGTGGTTAGGAAGCCTCTTGGGCAGCTGAGGGACCGTGCCCATTTACAAGCATCTTCCTGGTAACTTGTGGCTTCTAAGACCACCCCAAATTACTCTTAAGTATTTACACAAAGAAAGAACCCTTACCTTAACGAAGTCTCAACTAGCCCTACTTAGCAAAGGGCCTGATAGAAGGGAGAGTTCTTAGAAAACATAAACTCTTGCAAAACTTAACATGTGCTCTGAGACAGCTGGGAACATAATATTCTACATAGTTAAATAATCTACAATAATAAACATTTATCCCACCTCGGACATTGTAGAATATAATAGAATTTGCTCTAACATCATTCTTACAAAATGGTATCAGCCAGTTACAGTACTGAAAGGCAACTTAATATGAAACCTATATCCTGATAGGCCTTTTAAATGCATTTTAAACAATGCAAGCTTTAGTTCAAGTATCTCGGCCTTTAATACAATTCATATTTCATTTCTATTATTTGTGGCAATAAAAATAAAGTATGCTCAATACCATTAGGGGAAAATACATTAAATGCACACAAATGGTTTAACTCCATGAATGATAATTTTTAAAACCTTCCTATTTGTTTAATAGCTTTGAATTTGATATGCTAAACCAGACTTTCTACTGAGTTAGCACCTGTCTGGGAATGAGACATTAAATAATAAAGGCAGCTTTTAGATTTGTGTAATTTACACCCTGGGAGGACCTGACTTATTGTATGGCAATTCATTTTGTTAAATGAGTAGTGTTGTTTTCCAGCTTCACACTATTTGTTTTACTTACATGCTGCAGACATAATATTACTTCATTACTAAACTGCATCCTTAAAATTTATGAATGAAACAGATTACCTGTAGACTTTTAGGTCACATTACAATGTTGCTCCACGAAATGGTGTTCTCAGTTTGTGGTTGGGTGTCAGTTGATATGCAGTAGTTAAAATACTTGAAAATAAACTAAAAATTCCTGTGATAATTGGAGCCCTTTCTCATAGATTTTCATTTGAATGAAATGTCATGGGAATCAAGAAGACATTTGTCAGCCTACAAAATACCATTTGTATTCAAGTTAATCATTCAGTTTTTCCTTTTACACAATACTTATGATTATAATTTTGGTGGGTTTCAGTTATATTTTAACATCCCAAATTCATTTTAAATGTCATACTTTGTTTCATTCTTATCTCATGTCAGTTCTTTAACATGGCCTTATACTTGAGGTCATAGTTTTGCAAAATTAGGTACGGCACTGTTTCCAAACATAATAAATATGCCTACAAGACTAAAAAAAGAAAGATTATGAAACAGCCTTTTAAATAATGGTTAACTTGAGGTAAACTACTTTATCTTTTCATATTTTTAAGGAAAATCTCTTAATGACAATACCTGTTTTTCTATTGGAATCCCCAAAACAGCATGTAATATTTTAACTTAGTTTAACATCAATAATAATTCTAAGAATCAAACATTTGTCACTCAGTCAACAACTCTCTGTCTCTGTTTCCCACCACTTTCTCATAATAGATCTAGGGATTTAGAATGGGCAAAACAAAACCTCTGTCCTTAGTGCTCTAAGGTAGACCTACTAAAACAACAATTAAAGTCTTGATAAAAGAAAGACAATACTTTTCATTAAAAAAACTGCACAGTAGTAGAGGAAACGATGTTTCTTTTTCTCACCCAATATTTAATTTTCACCATTTTTGTTTTTAATAGTGTAAACTTTCCAGCATTATAAAGTTAAAGTGTTTCTCTCTTGCTAAAGGTGTATTTTTATTCAGAATTTATTTGCCAATATCCAGTTTTTCTTAATTGAAACCCCACATTCCAAAAGTCAATATCCACAACCATTTTTCCTGCATTAGAGCTCACCTTCAGTTCCTTCTGTCAGACCCTAATTGATCAGTTAAGCCACCATTTCAATGCTCTTTCTTSCAGAACCTGTAGGACTATTCCTTAAGGGGAACGCAGACTTGAGATGTCTCTGTGAGTGCTGTGGGAACATGAGTGCACAGACTTGGTCATGAACAAATCTGATCAGATGGGTTCAAGCAAAGACCCTTATTTAAACAGTCATAATCTGAGTGTGAGAACTCAAAATTATTGACAAAATAATAATGAACATAAGCAGCAAGTTTTTAAGATTTCAATGACAATTGTAGTTATTTTATCTCCATAATTTTTTTCATTCTATATGAAAATAAACAATTATGAAATCCCGGCAATCAGAGAATGATATTCAAATTCCTATTGTTATATTGTGTACCTATAAAGAGTAAAAGGAGATTCATAATTTAATGATTTCATAGTTTATTTTCCCAGAGATGAAATAATAATACCTTAACAAAATAGAAGTTGTTTCTCTCACATGTAAATTTAAAATGTAGGTAATCCAGAAGGTTGGATTATTTGTTCCTGTGAGGTTGGTCCATGGGCATGGAAACTAAATAATACCTTGCTTTGTATCCTGTAGGATGATATCTGAGCCAAAGTTACATATAAAAAAAMCAGAGAATGATGTTCAATTGGATAGTACCCAGGGCTTCATGCATGCTCTTCCACTGAAGTATATACTCTCAGTCTCTATGTCCTATATCCCTATATTTTACCTCTTGGAAAAAGCCAAGATTGATCTTTGAAGCATCTCCTAGGTCCCCATTCATGTCTCATTAGGAAGAGGGTTGAGAAAACCCTATTTTAGGCAGAAGGAGAGCAAAACAGTAAACTGCAAGAATGAGCCAGGAAAAAACTGGAGAGAAGCAGCTTCATTATGAGGGCATGTTGCAGAAGTTGGCTATATCACTTCTCCTTAAATCCATTGCCAAAACCTAGTCTTCTGGCCACAGCTGTTTGTAAGAGAGGTTAGGAAATTAGTTTCTGGCTGATAACTCTGTGTTAAGCTCAGACTTGAAGTGTTATTACTGTAGCAAATGAAGAAGGACATTGGGGGATAATGAGAAGTTTCTGTCACCAGTGCTATGCTATGCCATTAGTGAAGAAAAAGATAGAGACAAATAATTACAGGAAAAATAAATAGCCTGAGTGGCAGCAACCTGACAGGGTCCCTAATCATCTTTTGTCTGGGTTTGTGTGCTTTCATTCAAACTGGTCTCCAGCCTCCCCCCACCAGTTGATTATCAGTACTATGTCACCAATCTTTCTAGTACAAAGTTCTGCTCATGTCACTACTCAAAGTTTTAGAGGTCCCCAATTCTTTTAGAAAACAAAACAATGATACTGTCACAGGACCAGCAAAGCATTCTATGATCCAGTCCTATTCTGAGTTTAATTTCATCTCCGATTATCCATTATTTAATTCAGCCAATCTCAGCCTAGGAAATAAACTAGAGTCCTTCGTGTTTGTGACTTTGCTTACATTGTGCCCTCTGCTTGAATGCCCTTCTCTCTGCATGTCTTCATATACAAACTCATTCTATCACTAGGGAACCGAAATCTGTAACCACTGACCGAGTGCTCAACACTGTTCCAGTGCTAGTAGTTTAGCAGTCAGTAAGAGACAGAACGTGTTGCCAAGAGGTGTAGCTTGTGTCCAGCAAAATGACAGCTTCTCTAGGAAGACTTCCTAATTCTTCCTGCCTGTCACCCAAGACAGAAAGTTATCCTTCATTTATTCTTTTCTATTTTGTGTTATGGCTGTTTCGGCTCATGTTTTATCCCTTCATGTAAATTCCCTGTGAGGACAGGAAGCTACATCTAACACATTTTTCAAATTTTAACCAGAACCAAACAGTGTCCTCAATAAATGTTTGTTGAATGAAGAAAAGCAATTCTACCCTTTTTCATATCTCATTCTCCCCTGCCTTCTTGTTGTTATAATTGATTTTTGTCTTTAGTTAGAAATTTAAAAAAAAAATGATGCCAATTTGAGACCAGCAAGTCCCTTTAGAACTCAGCCAAATCATGACCATCCTCATCTATAAAATCCTCAGTTGACTTATTTTACTCAGAATAAAACCTAAATTTCTTACACTCCTTGAAAGCCCTGTGTGATCTGGCCACCTCTGGTTTTTTATGTGTATTAGACATTTCTCCCTCACTTGTCCAATGCTATTAACGGTGGCTTCCTGGTTGCTCCTTAATGCCCTGGTTACAAGGCTTTCTGTCTTTGCCCTTCCAGTTCCCTTTTCCTGAAACACATGTCACCACCTCTTGCTGCTTCAGACTTTTCTTCAAAGCTGTGCTGCTCAGTGAGGGCTTCCCTACGCTCTGTTTAACATCTCAGCCCACAGGCTCCCCGGGGCCTGCTCCATCACTCCTGTCTTCCTTTAATCTTACAGTTTACATTCGTGTTAATTTGATTGAACCTGTGTTTTCCTCCACTGAAGAGTCAGCTTCTCATAGACAGGAATTCTGCTCTTTTGCTAGCTGCTGCACCCCAGCTCAGGAAATAATCCTGGCACATAGTGTATGCTTTTTTTTTTTTTTTTTGTCAAATGAAGTAGTGAATGAATATTCTATACTTAAGAAATCGACTTTAAATTAGCCATATTAGAAATCAATTAGTATTATATATTAATTCCTTAATATATGCTAGGGCTTAGTCATCTCTCTTCCATTTGTATTTTCCAACCAATCCTATGAAAAAGCAGGGAAGACTACTTTTTCTACTAAACGTTTTATTAGCACATATAGCTCTCAGATAAATGAAAGAGCAAGGAAAAGAACCTAGATTTCTAAATTTTTTAAAACTCAGTCATCTGTAGAATTTTTTAGATGCTAATTTACAATATGCATGAGGAAAGGGCATGTTAATATGAATGTTAAACCAAACACTGTGGTCACCAGTTGACACATGGAGAAGTGTCATCCACTCT